TATTGGGGGCACACCTTGCCGGAACGCTGTCGCGGTCGCTGAAGCCAATGCCGATGGAAGGTTCTACGGGCATCTGGTTCTGCTAGATTGCCGTGCTCTAGGGCAGCACTGGAGGTCGCACCATGTCCCAAGTGGACGGCTTGACCTTGATGCCCTGCTTCAGGACTTTGAGGTTCCGCGAGGCTGGCAAATTGCTGTTTTGGATCAGGATGAACAGACAGGTACCCAAGGGACTGTGCCAGGCCAGGTTTTCAGGCTAGGCTATGTTCCCCAGCGTCTTGCCTTGTCCTCGGCTTCTTCCAGTTCCTCGTCCCTGCCAGCTACACAGCCGGCTCCCCCCGATCGACGTCTTACAGTTGGCGCATGGCGGGGTGACGTTGGGGATAGTATACCCGAGGGCTCTGATGAGCTCGATTTTGCCACAGAACCCTGCCTGGACCAGAAAGACACTACCATGCACTTCCTCATCCTCTCCCCTGAATATCAAGGAGAGATTGTGTCTGTGGTGGCCAGGCTCCCATCCACGACCGCAGACATTCTTCCTCTTGTGGCTGGAAGCGGAAAGGGCGCATCTCTTTCCCCACATGCTCCCTGTCCAGACACAGCCGCCCTTTTCCTTTGGGTGCGTCCTGGCCATCCCGGAGTGGCCGGCAACAGGAATACCAGTGCTGTTTGTTTGTTACCACAGCCCTGTCCGCATCTTCGCAGAGTTTGTCCCAGCCAGCCTCTCAGTTGGAGACGTTTATCGTCTGGCTGGGATTCAAGAGGATGACCGGACGCAGATTTTCGTCAAGGATGTCCCCTGGGCTGTGCCAGCCGAGGCTCGCATTTTTGTCCAGCCGGGCGACCTTATCTCCATTTGCCCTATGGAACATGCTCTTGCACCACCGTTAGACTTCGAACAGATGTTTCAGGCACACACAGTTTGGCACGAGGATCCGGTCTTCCCCATGCCAGCCGAAGATGGAGTCTGGTTGCTCACCAATCAGCTCCACCAGAGATTTGCCGCACGCCGTCCCTACCGTACTCCGATGTGGGTGGTAGTAGCACAGTACCTTGGCATCTCTCCTACCTCACTGACCTCTATGCCAGCATGGCCTCCGATTAGAAACCACTCGCATCGTGGCCTGGCCTCAAAACAGGTCTTTCTTGCTGTCCGAACCCCTGGCTCGGGCCGTGTTCCTTTTGTCCTGGACTTGCGTCCGGTCCTTCTGGGGATCTCGTGGGCCTCTGCGCCCGATGGCATTGTGGACGTGACAGAGATATGTAACAGGCAAACACACCGGTGTCCACCCGGACACTGTGTCCGTCTGCATGGGGGGACATCGGCACCCGATTTGGCGAACCATTTCCGCCGCGTTCATGCCGGCCAGACTCTTACCATTGAGTTTGCCCCGCGGTGGTACCGTGGGGTCGAGCCACTCAGTGGGCCCGGCGGCAATGGGGACCAACCCGACGCAGATGATAGGAATGACGATGACACACAGCCCCCGGATGACTCTGACGGCCCTCCCACAGGCCTGAGTTT